CTTGATATAGATAATTGACTCCGAAAGCTAAAGAGGATTCAATTACTTCAAATGTTTCACGAGGAATTTGAAAGAATATGGCTATATTCATCAAATGTGAACAAACTTGACCTTGAATAGTTCAAGAGTTCAATGAAGTACAGAATCCACTTAGCAAGATATCAAAACGTCTAGGTTAGATCAAGCGATGTTTTCTTGAGCCAAGCATGACCATCACAAAGTTATGAAATTGAAATTTTCATAAATAACTCCACAAATAACATAGTGTGTCTTCACGGAGACCTCGATGCCATTTAAAAATGACTCGAACAATGATGGATCACATCTCCTCCTATAAAGTTCTTAAGATTTTCACAAAGGACTAATGTTACACTAAATAAAATGTCGGAGCTAAGAAAGGACACCATATTCAGTTATGGATAGAATTAACTTCTAAATGTCTTTTCAAGTATATGTCTAAAACTCTTAGCCACAATAGGAGTTCACTAGCTCAGTGGGAGCTTAATGGCTCATTAAAGGCTAATATAGCTCAAGTGGGAGCTAACTGTTTGTTTCACAACGAACTTTTATACAAAGAAAATATACATGTCTCTTTGTAAGCTTTCAAGTGAGACTACGGGCACTACCTCCACAACCCAAATAAGAGCATAATGTTTGTTACTCTAAGTGGTGTCTTTTTGGAAAGTGACACATTTCCAAAACGACAAGTGGGAGGAAAATGAACTCGATGACTATCGAGATTAGCAACAAACTAAAACTGAGAATCTCAGAAGACCTTAAAAGGGCTTCGTAAGAATACTTGATCAAGAATACTCAAAAGGACTTTACGCGTGCCTTAAAAGAGAATTCATTACTCACAAAACTTTTGAAAAGTTAGAGTAAGATCAAGATAATTAAAGGGCTTTGCAAGTGCCTTGAAACTCAGTGTTCGATGCAATAATTCCGTATAGGTATAAAGTTCACCAAAGGCTTGGATTGAATCCTATAAATTTTCTATTAAGTTAGCAATAAACCTAAGACTTACAAGCATACTATTTACTATTAGATAGTAAGGGAATAATACCTTGTAAGATAGCTACGACAAATCCAAATTCCAAATAATGGTTAGAGGCCATAAGATCCGAAATAGACTCCATGTTTGAAAATCATGTTTTAAAACTTGATTAATTTTGCATGAAGGGTGAAAGACCCATCGATTGCAAATAAGTTTTCAAGGAGAAAACTAACAATTGTGGAAATTTATATGCATATATAGCTAAATTGGTTGAAAAGGATATAATTAAATTCACGTAGTTGATTTTAATATTTACCTACTCACTAATCGAAATGCTCAAGTCTTTTTGTGGTTATTTTAGCAAAATTGCACATATGAAATATGGCAAAATAGATACCAAACTGCCTTCCTAAAATAGGATTTTGGAAGTGACTATGAAAATAGTCTAAGGGATTTGAAAATCTAAATAATGCTAGATTTGAAAGCAAGCTCAAGAAATCCATTATGGGATTGAAGGAAACATTGCATAAAGGAATTGGAACGTATTTTCTCATAAAGTTAATAATAAGATTGACTTATGACGAAACAATAGAAATTCTTATGAATAAGAAGTTTAGTGGGAGCAAGAGTCAATCTTGTAAGGTCCAATAAGAATATTACAATCTATGTTTTAAATTAAATGTCAAATGCTTAATGCTTAGATTTGAAAGTATTTTCGACAATGGACCAAGCAAAAGACGATACTTAGTACATATTGGGTATTAAGATCTATTGTATAGACTTAATAGAATGTTTGAACGTGTAAAGGAATTTACCGTGTTAAACATAAATTGAAGGACTTTGAAAGACTTTCGACCAGTATGTATAAGACTAATAAGTAAATGTTTGGACTAAGTATGAGCTAGGCTAAATACTAAGTCAAACAAGAAAGACTCTACTAGAGACTTTCAACCATATCACACAGCAAACAGTTTAGCAAGACTCAGTGAAACTGGATGAGTTAAAATGTAACGTGGGTGCAAAAATATTGAGAATCATTCTACAATTAAATCCATCATGTATGCTACGATATGGAATTGTTACATGACTTACTTGCTTAGAGCATGTGAAGTATGTATGTATTGTACCAATCAACCTGAATCTATGTAATAGATCGTTAGATTACGGCCAAGATCATCCAAAGTTAAAATGTAACTTAAAATGTAACGTGGGTGGAAAAAGATTGAGAATCATTCTACAATTAAATCCATCATGTATGCTACGATATGGAATTGTTACATGACTTACTTGCTTAGAGCATGTGAAGTATGTATATATAGTACCAATCAACCTGAATCTATGTAATAGATCGTTAGATTATTGCCAAGAACATCCAAAGTATACTTGGATAAGTAACAGGATGAGTTCTTGAGTTGTGGAAACAAATACAATTTGAGAATTGATGTTTCAAGCACAAACCTTAACAAGAATTAGATCCTTAACAAGGAAGTTGTTTATAAGCACGAGCTAACAATGAGTCATGGCTTAAGAATGGTAATATGGATGTGCATCCATGTGTAATGTGCGGGAATTTAAAGTAAATTTCCATGATCACGAGCGATTAGGGTACCCCAAATCATTGTGAGTTGTTTGGAGTGAAACCCAAGAAAAACATCATTAGGAAGTCTACTAAAATATATGTTGAGAATATTGTTGCCTTAATGACGATAATAAAGAAGATGTTCTATGGAGAGTTCGTTGTTGAATGTTAATGATTGTAGGTTGTCAAGTTGAAGATCTCAATCATGAAAATAAGTGGGAGCCATCACTTGGACAATAAATCCTAAATCACATATAACCAATTACACTCTCAAATTTTATCATCTTATTATGAAAGTGATCAGTAAAGAAGATGCTAAGATTAGCAAAGTAATTATAACTAAACCTATGCAATAAGTGAACGACAACATTCTCAATTGCATGAAAGAAATCAAGAAAATTAGATATGGGTGTGATTTCTATAAATGTTTTATAAAGAGTGTTACTCTTAAAACATTCGGGAAAACCATTTATCATAAGATGAACCATTCAGGTTTTGGAGTAATTCAAAATTTCATGCAATTTTATCACTCTGTTTGCTATTTAATTGTGGTTTAGGATTAAATAATGAGTCCATTTGATTTTGAGAATATACAAAATAGGGTATCAAGACAATGTCTTGGATAAGGAAACACCTATTAAGTGAACATTGAATATTATAATCGAAAATTATCATTAATCGAGGTCATTTAAGCGATGGACGATTAATGACCATTTGAGATTATTGTGTAGTTTGATTTATAAACTGTTTCTTGTGCTACAAGGTCATGATAGTCATAAATCATTTACACAGATATTGGTTTAGAATCGTACTGGATCAACCTATGAGAATACTTTAAGAGATTCAAAAATCGTCATAAGTATATTTCTCATTATTACTATCAGAACCTTTTTCCTCGACCATGAGTATTGTGAGTTCTCTTGTTTGAGTACTAGTTCTCTTTGTTGCTGGTCAAACGTCTGCGGTACGCTAAGATTATAACAAGGACAAAAGGAAGGCTAGGTCCTCTTAGTAAGAGAAGATAACATTACAAGACTGGAAATGTACCCCTACTAATAATAAGGAACATGTCTTTGTTGTTTACAAGGCCTCTCGAAGAGCAAGACTGTGAAAATGCATGGCCTTGCTCGGATAGATTTTAGAAATCATCTATTTATTGACAGTCGGACTCGGATTTCGAGAAACACTTATGGATGTAATAAGGATGACGAATAAATCTTACCTTATAGTTCATGAAGAGGCATTAAGAGACATAGGAAAAAGGCTATACACTAAAAGCTCACTTGTCCGAAGGTTAAGCGGGAGATTGAAAGGAATGGTGTCCTTCGAACATGTCTTTGGAATTATTAGAAAGCTAATTTTTCAGTGAATTCAAGTTATCGGAATGCCTGAGTGGAGGCCGCTTTCGATCAATAATCTTAATATTAATTGTATAATTAATAATATTACAGTTTAATCTTGACTGAACCCTTAGGGTCACACCCAAGCAACAAACGGGGCAAAGCGACGAATTAATTCGGAAGTAATTACTGATTTGACTGAGTAATTAATATTTAAACGTCAGAAATTCGATCTTGGAGGGTCGAAACCGAGCGTTGGAACCAAATCTCAAATGTCGAGCCAAAATTTAGGATTTGGCGAGACGAGAAAATGCTTCAAGTAACAAGTAAAACCCTAGCCACGCGAACTAGGGAAGCGCGCCAAATAGGAGCATGCCCCGTGGCATTGCACATGGCAGCACGACATGTGGCATTACACGTGGAAGCCACGTTGGCATCCGCCAAGCGGCAGCGTGCCACGTTGGCAGCGACATGTGGCAAAGGGGCCATGGACCTGGGTGACGGGTCATGGTCACAGGCCAAAAGGAAGTGGCCCAACCGAACCCAACTTGGGGCTCAAGGTTGGGTGACACATGGTTAGCTCACAATGCATGTGAGTTACCTTGGGGACCAAGTGAGAAAGTGGTCCACACCTAACCATGTGACACTTGTCACTTGTTCCTTGGTTTATTTAACTAAGGGTTGAATTCATCAATCTTTCCATGTGGGATCTTTTTGTGAAAAAGTCCCCCATTGAAAAATGAGTGGAATTCACAAGGAAGCTTTCCTTATAAATAGCCAAGGGATGGCTTGGATTGTTCACTTGAGTAAGTGTTGAAAAAGGCATCACCATTGTGAAAACCTTTGAACACATTAATTACTCGGGTTTTGGTCGGGCCTTGCTAACTCCAAGGCATTAGACCCTTGTCGGTGTTCGAGTTGTGGGTGGACTTCCGTTGGAGGTCGTAGTACTTTTGAGACTTGCTTTCAAAGTAAGAGCGCCTTGATGTCGGGCGAAGCACGCGTCAAAGGTATAATTACTATCCTAATCTTGTCATTAAGTTATTTATTCTTTATCACTAGTAGGAAAAGATAAAAACGCACCGACAAATGCGCATCGGTCATTGAAAACCGGTGCCAAAAATACAAGCCTAGACCAAAAAAATAAAACAGGTTTAATAGGGCACCGGTTAACCGGTGGCCTTTTCCCAATATTCCCTAAAATTAGAACACGCTTTCTCTCCTCACTCTTCCCTCTCTATCTCTAACTCACAGGTTCTCTCTCCTCTGTTTCCTATCTCCTCTCTCTTCTCGCTCCACCACAGCCACCACTAGCACAACCAACGCAACCCTCCTCTCTCTCCATCCTAGCGTTCCGCCACCACCACCGTAGTCGTCACTAATGGCGTAAGCCCTTAAAAAACTAGGAGAACGATGCCTAGATCTCTAATGGCGACACTGCTCCTCACAAGGTTTAACCCTCCTTTGTTTTGTTAATTTTGTGTAATTTAGGTTAGGGTTTCAATTTCGTTGAGTTTTTGGGTTTTGATTTTGGATTTTGTGATTTGGTTGTTGTTTTTGAGTTTGATTTTGTCCCTCTTGTTTTGATAATTATTGTAATTTGTATGTATGGGAAGTGAATTCGAATGAATGGGAAGTGAAAGAACTCTTGATTCGAATTTTTAGATATGAATGTGATGAATCATCAATCGAAATGTACAAACCCTAATATTAGAAATAATGATGATGACGATTCAAGTAAATAATTTTATATGCATTATTCATGTTTCTCATAAGAATCATTTTTTCTTGTTTTGTGAATTTTTCCTGTAATTTAATTAATCTCCATTTATAAAACTAGTAGTTTATTGATAATTACAATTTGTAGAGTAATTTAGACGAATATTCTGGAAATTTGACCTCAAAAATGAGTAAATTAGATAAATTTCTGGCAATGTGTAGAGTAATTTAGATGAATTTTAATAAAACTTAGTACTATATATTAGATGAATTCTGGTGATTCCTGGAGTAATTTTAATGAATTTTCTTGTAATTTGACCAAAAACACAGTTAAGATTAAATTGTGGGTAATTTGTGGAGTAGTTTAGATGAATTTTGTGATTAATTGATGACAATCTCATTGATATTATTATAGATGGAGTGAAAGTAAGATGTTGAGATCAAAGAGAAGTAGAACCGAGGGAACCTCGTTGTGTGATTTTTGGTAGGTGTATGGGGAGTACATTTCTGATGAGACATGATGATGTTTGCAGCTTAGAATGTGGTGTTTCTTGAGTAAAGTTGCAGGTTTTGAATGCTTCTTTTGTTCTGAATATGTAGAGATTGTACTGGTTCTTGTTCTTGAAAACTACAGAGAAATAAAGCTCTTTAGGAACATGTGAATCGGGTTATAGTATGCTGGTGTACTAGTTGAATATTTGCATATGGGGGGAGTGAAATTGGTATTAAAATTGTGGTGTTTGTTTGAATTTCTTAGGCAAGACAAGTCCAAGGCGGTTGAGATACTTGTTGGTGATTTGAAAGTATTTTCGACATTCAACGAAGAGCTCTACAAGGAAATCACACAACTTTTAACTCTAACTAACTTCAGGTATACTTTACAAACCCCACAATTGTTCTTTTTAATGCTTTATAGGATATAGAACATGTGGACAACTAATAGACTGTTTTGTGTCCTTGACTTTTGTCTTTTGGCTTTTGGAAAATTAGTTAGTGAATATTGGGGTATTCTCCGGTAGTTTATCGAGCTATTGCTCCCTGGTGATGGTAATAATTTAAGGATGGATCCTTGTATCCTTTTAATTTGTACGGTTGTACCATGCTAGTTGAGAATAGAAAATATTGCATGCACCCGGGGAGATTTATCGTGCAAGACCTCAACTCCCAAAGTGTAAGTGGTCACAAGAGCTGTAGTAATAATTTGGCAAAGGCTAAATTAGAAAATAACACCTGTTAAAAGACCTAATTTTGTTTTTAACACCTTAAGATTTCGAAGTTTAATTATAACACCTGTTAAAAAATAAAAATTTTGCTTTCACCACCTAAATTGGAACAACGTTAGAGGATCTGTTAGCTGGGCCCACAATAACGGCTATTTTTCCAAACTGCTTTATATAGTTACGACATCCTTCACTAATGTAGAATTGTTGAGCTGATTACACAAAATTGCTTCACATTTTGCGAATTCGACTAACAAATTGGCGAAATTGTTTGATTTTACCATCATTGTTTGGGGGACGTAGATATCAAATCAGGTAATTGTGTCAATAGCACTTTAGAAACCCTAATTTATCTTTCAAAAATAAGGCGTAAATTAATCTATATGTTGTTGACTTAAATGCATAATTCAGGTCGCATCTGGCAATAGTCATGTAATTCGTAAATAGTTAGGGTTCATTGTGTGTTAATTGTGCTGTAATTTGCGAGAAAATGAAATTAGGGTTCATTGTAGAAATAATTTGGGGGTTTTGATTTGTAGGAGTGATTGTTTAATTCCCTTGGTTCAATTGTATTTTTTTCATAGTACGAATGATTTTGCTTATTATGGATGGCAAATTGGTGCAGGAAATGTCTTCTACAAGTTTCTCACCTTCAAAGGAGAAGAAGTGCAAATGTGGTGTTCCCTTTGCAAAGCTTACCAGTTGGACAAGGGAGAACCCTGGTCGTAAGTTCAAAACATGCAAGTTCTACGATCCTGTAACTGAGAGCAGAGGTTGTAAAGCATTTGAATGGGTGGATGAACAAGATGGGACAGCCTGGCAAACAGAGGTGATCAACAATTTGTTGTTAGATAAGAAACTGTTGAAGGGGGAAATTAGTGATTACAAGAGGGAAGTTGATGATCTTGGTGGACAGTTGAGGTGTTTGCTGAATGAAGTGGACAGGCTGAAAATGAAATGCAAGGCTTTAAACTCTGACAGGAACAAGATGAACAGAGAGATGCATGGAAGGAATGCTAGATCAGATCACTCTGTTCTTAGTCTTGCTGTTGGGATTAGTTTGGTCATATTAGTGATCCTTCTTATTAGGGGGCTTGTAATGCATTAAGTATAACTTGTAATGCTAGTAATTGCATGAAACAGTAATATGGTAATGTAATGATTTATAAGTGGCAGTGAACCACTATTGCAAGCAAACTAATGTACACAATTATGAAAGCAATGAATTAAGTAAGTACCTAAGTAGTTGATATTGCATTTAAGTTGTTGATCAAATTTGTTGTTGCAGTGCCTAACAAAATTGGCTGGTAAAGCCTTAAAGCAAAGTATTAATTTAACAAAACAGGATCCTTGTCCTAAACCCAAAAGTAAAGCTACAAATATTGCAACTGATTGTTCAGAAAATACAACCAACAACTAAAGTTCAGAAAAACAATTCAAACATCATTGTGTCAACCCTCCTTGTCTGGAAGTCAGCAGCTTAGCCCTCCTTGTCTGCACTCTAGTAGCATTGGGTTCAGGTTGGCTGGAAGAAGGGGTGGTGTGATGCTTGGCTTGTGGCTGCCCTTGTTGACTGTGTGAACCTTTCCTCTTACTCAATGGTTCACAGCCAGGTTGCTCTTGGGGAAAAGTCCTATTCCCAATGCTGTTTGGACCAGCCCCTATTGCACTCTGTTTATTAAACACAAATACCAATAAACAAGTATCAACATCCAATTTCATCACAAATTTTAAAAGAAAAGTTACAAATCCAACAGCATACCTTCTTAGCAGCTTTTATCTCCCTCTTCTTCATTTGCTCAACTACCCAAGGTGAATTTAAAGGAGGCCTTCCTGCAGTTCTCTGCTCAGTTGGTTCAGGTTCATGTGGGCCCTTGCAAGTCTTGGGATAGTGGCCAAATCCACCACAAATCCTACACTGACTTTTCCTCCTCTTTCTTCCCTGCTCCCCTCCTGTTGCAGATGTTCCCTCCCCAGGTTCCAGCTTCCTCTTCTTCTGTTTAGGTCTTCCAGGCTGCTGTTTGAATGCTGGTGGATGAGGCTATCTCATGTTCACTCTCTCCCAATGCTTTGGGCCTGGCATAGGTTGAATTGCAGGCTCATATGATGCTCTGTAAGTGTCCATAGTGTAATAGGGGTGGACAAACTGCTCAACATCAACCCTCTGATCCATTATGCATGCAAATGCATGAATACATGGCATGCCTGTTAATTGCCAGTGATTGCAGGAACAAGACCAATTTGGCAAGTCAACTAGAACCTGGTCATCATTCAGCTGCACTTCATAAGTGTCATCCCTGGCAGCTTCAATTATGCAATTCCTAGCCACATAGCTCATCCTCTGAAATAGCTTATGCACATATGGAGTGATGTTGGTTGTGATTTCCTTGGAGTCCTCCCACTTCTCATTATTTCTCCTCATCATGTACCTCCTCATCCATTCCATTTGGGTGAGGATAGGTATGTCTCTTGCATCTCTGATAACAGAGTTGAAAGTCTCACACATGTTGTTTAGTAACATGTTGGACCTGCAACTGTCACTGAATGCATGTCTGCACCAGTGATGAGTGGGGATGTTCTCCAAATAATTGTAAGCATCCTCATCAAGCTCCCTAATCTGTTGCATGGCTATCTGAAACTCAACCTACAACCACAACAGGAACATTATCATGAAAGAATAACATACACAACTGTTGTTGCTCTTATTTTGCTTTTATACACAACATGAACATTATTACATGAAGTAGGTACATGAACAGGAACAATATCATGCATTTACTTATTCAAAATAATTTAAGGTCACCTAGAGACTTACAAATGTTGTTGCTCTTGCAGCACTCCAAAAGAGCTCTTTGAAAACTGATCCAGTGAACTTCAACTTGAAATTTGCCCAAATGTGCCTAACACAGAACCTAGTCTCTGCATTAGGCACAACTTCAGACAGAGCTTCAACCAGTCCCTATTTAACATCATCAACAATTACTTGTCACACTTCAAACAATAAAGAACAGAACAGAAAATAAGACTACAATAATCAAAACAATATTACCTTCTGCTTGTCTGACATGAAGTTGAAGCCTGCCCCATCTGCACTTCCAATGCATTGCATCAAGGATTCCAGAAACCAGACCCAAGTCTCCCTGTTTTCAACCTCACAAGTTGCCCAAGCAATGGGGTAAATGCTGTTGTTCCCATCCTTGGAGACTGCAACTAAAATCTGGCCTGGATAAGCTCCTTTCAAGTGGCAGCCATCCACCCCTATAATTGGCCTACAACCCTTCAAGAACCCATCCTTCAAAGGCCTTAAACAAATAAACATCCTCATAAACAAGGGAGGCTCAGGCTTTTCAATGCCATCAATCACAACATTACAACCAGACCCAGGGTTGTATTTCATTACAGCCTTCCCATAATCTCATACCCTAGCATATTGCTCTCTTGCTGAACCAAAAATGATCAACTTAGCTCTACATCTTGCCATCCAAGCCCTGTAGTAGGTCACTTCTACCCCCAAGTCATGAAGCACCCTATCCTTGATTTGCTTAACCTTCCATGATGGGTTAGTTCTGAACTCCTCAAGATACCTCTCAGCAATGAACTCTGCTGTGACCTTCTTGTTCTCCCTGCTTCTCACACATTTATGCTCCAACTTCATGGTTTTTATTTGCCAAGTCTGTTGTCTTTTTAACTTAGTAGCATGGATCTTGAAACTACACTTCACTCCACCCCTGCATATACACAAAGGCATCCTACTTGTCTTTGTGTCAAACTTGCACCCACACCTATTCCTACACTGAATAGTAATCCTAGTACTATCATTGTGTAAAAAATAGTACTCATACCTATTCTGTATGGCATGCACTCTTAAAGCTTTCCTCAACACTGTAGCATTGCTAAACCTAAGCCTATGAACAAGTACAACAGGCTTTGAGAAGTCAGATTTCTCATTAAACCATGGACTTTTGTCCTCTTCATCAGATGAACCATCCAAGCTCCTTAGGTCATCTGATTCTCCCTCAATTTCTTCTTGTAGTTGTACCTCATTCACATCCAAGTTATCTGTCAACCTTGCCTTTGGATCCTTGGAAACCCCCTCATCATGTACATCAAACTGCTTCCCAAGACTTCTTGTTACCTTAGCTAAAATTTCTTCAGAATTCTGCACAAACCACCTCTCATCCCCACTGTCATACTCCTCCTCTCCAGGCTCCCAAGTTATGTCAATCTCACTCCCATCACTTGAAGAAAACTCATCTTCCCTCCCAGTCTCACTGCCCTCACTACTATCCTCAAAAATCAATCCTTTGCCTACAGATTTTTTTTCCCTTTCCCTTATCCAACACCTTCACACTGCCAGAACCCCTTTCAAGCTTAGCTTTACCCTTTTGTTTCCCCTTACTCAACAACTTCCCTCTACCAGGAACCCCCTTAATCTCAGCAGAAACCCCTTCAACCCTTTCTATCCCCTGTCTAGATCTAGGTTTAGGAGATTCTTCACCCTCCCTCACCTTAGGCTCATTTTTGTTAATTCTTGGGCTCTTCCTAACTACAGCAGGCTTACCTGAACTTTTCTTCCCCTTTCTCTCAGCCTTTACTGGAGTGGACTGGGCCTGGATCTCATGTATGGGCCTTAATATTTCATTAGCAGTCACAAATACTTCAACATACCCTTCCCCATTCACTGTCTCCAGCAGCCCCTTCACTTCCTCTTCATTTACTAACTCCCTTCTCCCTGTGTTAAAGGTCCTACCTCTTTCTTTATACCAAAGTCTGTAGTTAGGTGGGACATGGACATTAAAGTTCACAAACCCATGCACAGCAGCTACCCTCAAATAATGCAAATCTATCTTATCCACTACCACATCCCTCCTCCAATAACATAACCCACCACACCAACAAAGCAAATGCTTTGATTTTGACACTTGTTTAGTAACAAAAGCACCCCCCACTCTAAATACTATATCAGTTAATCCATCTTCGTTGTTGGCCATTTTTCTACCTAATAAACAAATGCAAAGCAAATCAATAAAACCCAACATAGCTAACCCCATTACACAGTCAACCGCAATACTTTAATCAACAAAATCAAACATATTTAAACCAACACAATGACAAACCAGTCAACAGTCAACAAAATCAATGATTTAAACTAAATAATTCACACATTACACCAAATCATACTTAATTTAATCAAATTCAACTTTAATTACAAATTACCCCATTTTACTGTTCTTAGGGTTCCTAATTTTTTTTCCCAAATTACCCTACTACACCCACACAAATGGCATAATGCAGCACACAGTACTTGTTGAAAACTACTTTAAAGGGTTCGAAAGGTACCTGTATTGGAATCTTACTCCTGTTGCTGTCAGAATCCACGAAAAAGTCCAAGCTTTTTGGAAGTTGGAAATGGCTGACGGAATCTCGCTGACTTGTTTCGCTCCAATATTGACACCTCCTCTTCCAACTCAATTTCTCAATCACAACAATCAGTATAGGGTTTGAATGTTCGCAGTAATTTTGGTTGTTCAAGATTTGCAGACGAAATTCAATGAAGCAAAATTAGTTGGGTGGTAATAAATGACAGAGAAGATAAATTCGAATTGAAGGGGATGAAATTTGGAGGGTAAACGACTATGTGGAATTTGGTGGTAATAAATGACAGTTTCTGTTATCTAATGGTGAAAGCAAAATTTTTATTTTTTAACAGGTGTTATAATTAAACTTCGAAATCTTAAGGTGTTAAAAACAAAATTAGGTCTTTTAACAGGTGTTATTTTCTAATTTAGCCTTTGGCAAATTAGTGTTTCTAGCTGATGTGGTAATAATTTAGTTCTTGTCATGTTAGTTGGGAGCAGGAAATCTTGTTTGCTCCTGATTTCAAATGTTTTATCTAATGGGGAGATTACCATGAAAAACATTTCTAGTGTTCGATGTGATTTGCAGTCTTTCTTTGATTGCCTTTTATAAAATTGTTAAAGTACTTAGAACTTTTTTGGATACCTTAGGGAAAACGAGCAGCTTTCAAAGTATGGTGACACCAAAACTGCTCGTAAAATAATGTTGGTAGAGCTTCAATATCTGATAAAAGAAAACCCGCTTTTCCGTGACAAGCTCAAGACTGCGTACACTAATTAATCAAAGGTAAAAGGCCCTGCTGTCAGTTTGTTTGTTGGTTGAATGGTTTTAAAATCAGAAGAAAATTAAAAATCAGAAGGATCAGTGTTTTGAAAAGCACACCTAAGGCCCGTCTAGGC